AGAGCGTGTGTAATTCGCTGCCATCAATTTACGCTACAGGGGATGAACCGGTAGCGGAGGAAGCGGAGGGACTTGTTGTTTTTAGCGAATTTCCACCGCGTCATACGACTTTCGCTAATTATTTATTAAATAATTTCTTGATGAACAACAAGACTGTAATTAACCTGTAATGGACAGAGTGTCATCGTCGCATATCGAACAGCAAAGGGGATCAAGTTCCGCGTGGGTGAAGTTGTGTATCACTCGCATCGCATCGCAAAATCAACAACAAGTGAAACATTCCGATCATCCGGCAAATTGCGTGACCATGAGAACTTTGGATTTGGTTGTTGTTTTGCGAATGAGCATAGCTTGGCCGGCCCACATGGCAGAGCGTTTTGATTGGTCGAGGCAAAATGGCAGTAGGAAGTGTTTTTATCGCTGCTACCTCTAAATACGGCGCGTTCTGGGTGTTCCATCAGGGAGCGGAACAGAGGCAGTCAGTAACGTAAGGGGCTGCTCATAAACCGCTAGGTCAGTTTATGGGGATGGGGGGTCTAAAATCTCTCAAAAACAGTATTCGTTATTTATGAACTGCCCCTAAGCGATGTGGAAATGGGCGAGCGATTGTGCTCAAGACAGGGATCAGGATGAAATATTAGACGTTCTGTTTTACGCGTTAGTTTGTGCCACTTTGAAATTTATAAACAGCTATCGAGATCATTTTACGCACCAAAATACGTGACGAGTTGCCAACGTCGATTTTCGCGAGATAGAGTTTTCCTGGCACGAACGAAAATTGGTTTGTAATTCGTTTGAGGATGATTATAATCGAAACATATTCCGTTTCGTGGAAAATTGACCGATTAGGGTTTTTTGTTATTGTCGGGTAAAATAGGCCGAAGGGTCTCAGACCTTTATGAAATTTCACCCACATGTATTTTTTTTTGACGTAGGACTACGTCTGTGATTTATATATGGGGGTACACTTTGTGAAATCCAAAAATGGAACATGTAACGAAATTATGAAAGTTTTTGAACTATAATAACTCAGCTGCCCCTGAACCAATTTGAATAATTTTATGACCAATCGATCAGAAATATTTCTACGATTCATAGCAATGCTCAAATGGTTTGTGCAGAGTCAGTTTCTTACCAAATGAGTTTAAATTTTGGGAGGCTAATCAGGACCTGTATTGGAACCGTTTAAGCACTATGGAGCGAACATTTCAAATTTTGCATCAGTCTAATGCATATGCTGCTTCCCTAACACAGTCATCAGAGAGTCGTTAGTAGTCGAAAGAAGTCGAAGTGGCATTCGCCTCCGATCTTCGGGTGTGTGCGAATAGGGAGGATGCAATTGCGTAACATTTTCCACACTCATCGCCATATTCTGAGCCACACGCCCCCTAACGACCACACATAATGCTCTCCAGAGTTGTAATCTTGTATCCAAACTTGGAAACAGGGGTGCAAGTGATTTTGATCGATTCTCTTCATAGACTTTCTGTTTCGTTAATGACTCGACGGCAAACACATTCATTGATACGTTTGTTGTTTTGGACGATAGAGGAACGTAGCAGAAATAGTGCCAAATAGGTTAGTGAAGCCATGGTCATCAAAACAGGAAATCGATGAAGAGAATTGACTTTCACCCCTCTGCTTCTAAGCCCCTTAATTCAGTCGTCGTCATAGCAATGACAACTAGCATAGCACCGCTTTTGATTCGTGGGTTACACTGTTTTTTTTTTATCTAGTTCGTTTATTTTTAAGGCTCAATCGTGTTAGCTTTACAGAGCCGATAATTCATTGTTCTTTGTTTGTTTGTAACAAAATTCACTTAATTCTATGTCTAGTAGGAGTTGGGCCAAATACTCGCGGCTTACTCGAGGTTAGAGAGGTACATTGTCGAAGGATAGGAAAAGGGGAGGAGCTTGAGGTAGGGTTTCGTTGTCTCATCAGAGCGATGTCGCCAGTATGAACGGTAGTGTGGTTCTAGATTCGTCTGGAGTTCGACCGGCTATGGTGACCAGTGGGTGGGTTACACTTGCTGGTTGCAATTCTGCTGTTCGACATTTTCGAAGGACCACCAAAAAACATGAAATTACACTTTTTTCTTGGGATGCCTAAGATTCCAACTATTCGATTTACGAATTTTCAATTACTCGAGACGAAAGCGTAAACGATATCTCTTCTTATTTCTACTCGTTTGATTTAGCGCAGTAGAGAAAGTAAATCAAAGTAATAATTTATTGGAACAGACATAGAGAAGAACCATTACGTGAAACAGGATCATAAATGTGTGAACACTGATATTCTACCGGCTGTTTCTATACAACGCATAATTTAGTGTAGAAAAGCACAGCAGATGAAGTGTATCATAAAATACTCAAAATGGGTGGGGTATGATTTTCTAGCGTTCGAAAAATGATTATTTTGTCATGTCCGATTGATAAGCGACATAACCGTAAAAAGAGGAGGAACCTCAATTGATATGCCCTTAATTGTTGCTTTCGTCCATACAGTAGCAACCTTTCGGTTTATCGACCTTGACTCAGAGCTTCCCATTTTGGGAGTTTGCTTGGAGGAACCAGCCAACATCGCAATAGCATGCGCATACCTGCCTTGTGGGAGATTAGCAAACCTCAACGGTCAAATCGACAGCATCTTCGATAACCTACCTGAACCGCGTATATTCTTGGGTGCCCCCGGTCCGACTCGAGGGGTTCCACACTGGTAGACAAGTTTGAAAGGGAGGATATGATCATCCTTAATGACGGATCGCCGACCATTTTCAATGGACGGCACACAACGGCGATCGATGTAACTGCTGTCAGTCGTTCCCTCGCTGGAAGAATGCAGTGGAGCGTCAATCCGGACCTCTACGGTAGCGATCATTACCCGGTTCAGGTGCAATTTTTTGCCGTTGATATACCGGCAGAAACGCGAAGACCTCGGTGGCGCATCGAAGCATCGAGAGTCTCACTCAAACAATAAACGCAGCTGCGTCAGAAACCATCCCAAAAACCAGCAGCATTCCAGGGCGTAAAGCGCTCAAAAGGTGGAACGAGGAAACGAAAAAGGCAGTCAAGGCCCGGCGAAAAGCCCTTCGACGAGTCAAACGGCTTCCCATAGATGATCCGGATAGGGAAAACGCGCTCTGCATCTATCGATAATGGCACAACCAGTGTCGCCAATTGGTCCGAGATGACAAACGATCCAGTTGGACGGACTTCCTCGAAAGCATAAATGCCTCACAGTCTTCGGCAGAACTCTGGGGTAAGGTCAACGCCCTCAGTGGCAAGTGCCGTACGGCCACACTGCACATACAGGTAGACGGCGCTGCAGTCTCCGATCCCGGAATTGTTGCAAATAAGCTTGGCGACTATTTCGCTGACCTCTCTGCGATTTCCGAGTACGAGGCGACCTTTCAACGGCTAGCAAACCCATCGACTTCGTCCGTAAGCAGTTTTCGAGTTTCTCCGGACATGAACAACCTGAGGATCAACCACGATTTCACCTGGCAGGAGCTTCAGTTCGCGCTTAGTAGAAGCAACGGGAAATCAGCCGGCCCAGACGAGATCGGCTACCCACTGCTCAAGAACCTGCCTATTCCGGGTAAAGTAAAAATGCTGGAGCTCTTCAACCAGCTTTGGCAGACAGACTCGTATCCAGAGCATTGGAGGGAGAGCTTGGTTGTCCCCATCCTCAAAGCAAACGAGCCGACACGGGATGTGGCGAAGTTCCGACCCATTGCGCTCACCTGCTGCATGGCAAGGGTTTTCGAGCGGATGGTCAACCGAGGACTGAAGCAGTTTCTCGAGTCTGGCGGCTTTCTAGACCATCACCAACACGCATTCCGGCAGAGCTCCTCAAGGATGCCAAGGATAATGGTCTCCATACGGAGTTGGTTACCCTGGACATTGTGAAAGCCTTCAACCGTACATGGACGCCCGCGGTACTGAAGCAACTCGTCAGATGGGGCCTTTCCTGACTGGCAGATCCTTCCGAGTCTTGGTAGGTAATATCAAATCCCGCACTTTCTGCGAGGAAACCGGAATTCCCCAAGGTTCTGTGATCGCTGTCACTTTGTTCCTGGTACCCATGAACAGTGTCTTCGAGCGGCTACCAGCGAACATCAACATTTTCGTGTACGCAGACGACGTGCTAATCGTAGCCACAGGTCAAACTCCGGGACGAACGAGGACTAGAGCCCAAGCAGGGGTTTCCGCCGTAGCCAGTTTGGTCGCTTCGAAAGGTTTTCAGCTGTCTGCTGGAAAGAGCGCTAGGTTTCACGTTTGCTAGTACCGACATCGGGTCTGCGGACCTTCCATAAAGATCGGTAATCAAGCTATCCCATTGAAGAAAACTGTGAAACTGCTGGGGGTTGTCATTGACCGGTCGCTGAGTTTTGACCAGCACCTTCAAGGGGTCAAGGCCAGCTGTCGCTGCAGGATCAACCTCATGCGCACAATCTCCCATCTCCACCGGTCCAACAACAGAGAAGTACGTATCCGTGTTGCCCGGGCCATCGTAGACAGTCGGCTGATGTATGGACTGGAGCTGACCTGCATCGCTACCGAAAAGGCAATATAAATACTCGCTTCGGTGTACAATAGCTACACGCGCATCATCTCCGGTCTCCTACCCTCGACGCCAGCCGATGCCAGCTGTGTCGAAGCCGGCACTATCCCTTTCCGGTACCGCATCTACGCAGCCATTGCCAACAAAGTCGCTGCATTTTCAGCAAATACCGCCGGAAACGACAGAATCTGCCTCCTCATCGAGGGGGACAGAGTTCTCCGTACAATCGCCAACGCAGAGCTCCCCCCAGTGGCCAAGATTCACTGGTACGGAGATAAGAGTTGGCAATCTCCCGCACCAAACATCGACAGCCGGATAAAGGAGAAGTTCAGAGCCGGGGACAATTCCGTAGCCCTTAGGAGATCGGTAGCAGAGCTGACCGGATTGTTTGGCCGCATCGTTACACGGACGGGTCAAGATCTAGAGCTGGAGTCGGAATGGGAATCGCTGGTGACATTTCCCCAACGATTAGAAGTCTGCCAAAACAATGTTCGCTGTTCTCGGCAGAAGCAGCGGCTATTCTTTATGCCATCACGGTTCCTGCGGATCGCCCAATCCTGATCCTGTTGGACTCCCACAGTGTTATTCAGGCCATTTCGTCGGAGGTCCCGGTCCACCCCTGGATCCAGGGCATCTTGAAGGTTGCGCCACCAAACACTACATACGCATGGATTCCCGGACACTGCGGGATCCCAGGGAACATCGAGGTGGACAACCTAGCCGGGTCAGGCCCATCGGGTCCTCGGTACTCGCACAAGGTACCGTTGCAGGACGTGAAGAGATGGATCACTTGCACAGTGCGGACAGCGTGGGCAACGGAATGGTCCAGTGCCAGACTTCCGTTTATTAGAAAAAGTTAAAGGTGACATCGGAAAGTGGACGGACCTTGCAAACCTGCGAGATCAGGGGATTTTTTCCAGACTTCGGACGGTGGAGCACGTGTTATGCGTATGTCCACAATTCGAGCACCTTCGTTGCCTCCACGGTCTGCCTGCCAGCGTACGGGACACGCTAGTAGACGTGCCCTCAACTCAAGCAGCTGTACTGCGCTTTTTGAAGGCGGCGAAGCTATACTGCAGGATTTAGCACCATCGATTCTTTCGGCCGTCCGGACATCCCCCCACTGCACAGTGGGTAAAAATTGACAAAACTGCGACTAAATTGAATATCTCGGCTGCCAAACGGTTTCAGTCAACATATTATACACATTCTCCAAGGAAAAATTCTGCTGAATCGATTGGTGGTGGTCTCATTGACCGGAAACTTTTGCGTACCGAGATAGAGGGCCGGGATCAACCCGAATTCCCGGTAAAGTAGGAAATGCCACTATTTATCGACATAATTTTACACTTTACTTAACGTATATTACTGAAAATTGATAGTACTAAGTATATATGGTGTAAAGACACCAAATACGCCCTCAGGTAAACTCTACTGGCCTAAAGGAGGATCCGGAACGACCGATAAAGTGACCACATTATAAAAATTGTCCTAGAACCTTTCGATTTTTTCTATAATGTTCAGAATCAAGAGATCAAAGCGTTTTTAATATGGAAACTTTATTTTGGGGTATAGTGGCCATATTCTGATTCTCCGGATAATCTGGATTGACCGATAAAGTGGCCACATTATAAAAATTGCGAATCTTGCGATTTTTTTATGTTTGTTCAGAATCGTGAGATCAAAGCAAATTTTATATGGAAACTATATTTTGGGATATAGTGGCCATATTCTGATTTCCCGGATAATCTGGATTTACCGATAAAGTGAATTCCGTTCAGTTGGACATCCGCTCAGCAGCCAAAAAATCAGTACCCGGACATCCAGACCTCACTCACGTGGAAGGGAAGTTGGAAGCCAGACGAATTGCAGACTGCCTTGAACAACATTTCAATTTTTTTATAATTTCTAGTCAATCCAGATTATCCGGAGAACTAGAATATAGCCACTTTACCCCAAAATATAGTTTCCATATTAAATACGCTTTGATCTCTTGATTCTGAACAACATAGAAAAAATCGCAAGACTCTAGGATCATTTTTATAATGTGGCCACTTTATCGGTCGTTCCGGATCCTCCTTTAGGCCAGTAGCGTTTACCTGAGGGCGTATTTGGTGTCTTTACACCATATATACTTAGTACTATCAATTTTCAGTAATATACGTTAAGTTAAGTGTAAAATTATGTCGATAGATAGTGGCGTTTCTTACTTTACCGGGAATTCGGGTTGATCTCGGCCCTCTACCTCGGTACGCAAAAGTCTCCGGCCAACGAGACCACCGCCAATCGAATCAGCAGAATTTTTTCTTTGAGAATATTTATAACATGTTGACTGAAACCGTTTGGCAACCGAGATATTCAATTAAGTTGCGGTTTTGTCAATTTTTGCCCAGTGTGCACTGGACGGGACCCCCAAGGACCTCCTACAGTGGACCTATGTTTTGTTATTGGTTTTGTTTTGTTCATTTTATATTTTGTTCTTCTTTTTTTTGTATCCTGTCGTTTTCGTATGCTGTTTACCGTGTTATTGTACTAGCTGTTTAAATGCTTTAACTAAGCTTGAGCTTGAGCTTGAGTTTGAGCTTGATTGACCGCCCACGGTTGCTACTCTGTTATTGCCAGATCAGCTGTAATTACACAGAGAACCAATAGACGATGCTTGGGACTAGCAATGATCCTCAATGTGTAAAAACTGGTGATCTTAAATTAGGCAATACCAGCGCCGGCCGCGCCCGAACACAGGTCAAGAAAGGAAGGGGAAGGATTGTGTTGACATGACACTCGCTTTTATGGAAGCCGAGAACACCTCTGCACTTCCACGAGGAATCACTGGGATGTTGGATAAGAGGGTTGGGTTTGCAGCAGGGTTCGTTTTGGTAAACGATAAGCTGAATTGATGTCCTAACGATCATATAACGCGAAGGAGCTTGGGACTAAACCCACGGTCTTCTGCTCAGCAAGCAAAAACGTTTGCCACTAGGCAGACGAGCACCTTTTTAATCACCGAGTTGCTGTTATTACCATGTAGTCATATTAACAAATAAAACGATTGACGAATCTCGAATGTGGATGGGCCTGAGATTAGACTCATGATGTTCTGCTCAGTAAGCAAAAACGGTTGCTCTAAGGCCACCGAGCCCCTCATAAATATCACATAATACCGTTGCTCAAATTTTTGTATCCATTCAAACCCGGAACCAACGACAACAACGAGTTTCGTAAAATACACGATACACAAGCGATTTTACCATAAATCTCTTTGATATACAAGGACCTGGGACCGCGTTTTTCTGCTCAGTAAGCAGGCCACTGTAACCGACGATCTTTCAAATCAGAAAACTAAAAACTACGAAAAAGTACTTAGGCCTTCATTAAGTTCCACTTTCACGTGACGTTCAATGACAGGGTCCTATCCAGGATTACATCTGAAAAATCCAAATTTGGCCAACGCCCACCCTAAACCTAAACCTGTTCTAATCCACCTGAAATGACTAACGAATGGACGACTTTGACTACCCAGCCATGCAATAGTCTCATTCCGTGCCTTATGGCAACTTGATGATTCTATTGCGCTCATCTTCTGGCACCACCCAGGGGAGACTTGGTACTGTACCCAATGCTTAACTTATCTCCATTCCACTCAGCTACTCGCAACTTCTTGTGATATAGTGGGCGGAATATTATTATATGAGATAATCCAATGCAGACGTCTTTCCAAATTTGGCAGATCGACAGGTAATCAGTGAGTTACCACGATAGTTGCTATTCAACAACTCGACAACGTCCCATCGTCAACGCCTGCTATGAGAATTTCCCATTGCAGACGCCAACGAAATGACGTCATCGAGCTATCGATCAACTACCCTGGTTATCGCCTGGTACCTTATAGCACGATGCTAGGAGGCGAACCGGAAGAATCGATGAGCTACCTCTCCCCCCTAGCTGTTTAAATGCTTTAACTAAGTAGATTATCAAAGGTTAAAGTAGCATGATACTCAAGCAATGTGGCTGGCGGATCTCTTTCTAAGGCTTCGCATCCTTTACGGAGATGAACTAGCCTACGGCTTCTAATCGTGAAGCAACCGGGCCGAGACTCTTCTGAGTGCCCATTTCTCGTAGCGAAGTTGAGGTATCCTTCGCTGCGCCTTTCCAACCACCGGGTCAACTCGTGTCCAGCAGCAGCCACACCGAGGCTCTCCAGAGTACCCATTCATCGCAGCAAGGTTGAGGTTTCCCTCGCTGTGGTCTTCCAACCTTTCGCAGACACCAGTTCAACCCCTGTCCAGTAGCAAACGGGCCGAGACTATTGTGAGTGCCCAATCATTGAACCAAAGAATATGGGATTGACCGGTCCGAATTGATGATCCAGCTGCCTACACGGCATCATCATCTTCCAAAGGCTTTAGGCCTGTACTTCCATTGGCCCTTTTCAGGGCCACCAAGATTTCCCAAAAGAGTTAAATTTCTGCACATGTCCCTACTAAAATTCATAGCAAGAGGTTCTTTACAGGGCAATCATAGTCATAATAAAGAGTATAAACAGAGAGAACCCCGCTCAAGTTCCTATTCCTGCACAAAACACATGCTCCTGCTGTAGTACCCTCCCCTTGGCTAGTTTTTCAACCTGGACGTTGGTAGGCGGGCCTAATCTTATGCTTCATAGTGGAGCGTTGGAGACTGTTGGTTTGGGTCCGGCATCGTTGGCTCATGCCGTGACAAAATAGCGTCATGAGCATGCGATGAGGATAACTGAGCTTCCCCTCTCTGATGAACCATTGCATAAGAGAACCAAAGTTCTAGCCTGAAGTGATGGTATCACACTTGTTACTCCTTTATTTGAAAGCCGCGTTGTAGTACGCTTACGTATAGGCACTGACGTTGGGAACGATACTGGCGGGTTTTGCCGCAAATCACTCTTATTTTATTTATTTTTACGCAGATAGATTTATTTGGGTTTGCCAGGGAATTATACTATTAAAATATTTCAGAAAGTGCCCAACAGTACTCCTTCTACTTGCGTGACAAGCTTTCGTTGTTGTTTTCATTGAGGTATTACTCAGGGAACAATATTAAACACCACTTTTGTACATGGTTTTGCAACTAATCTTATATGTGCTTCATTTTGATTTGGGATAAGTGTTTGAACTATGGCTCGGGATTTCCACTGTGGCGTGCTTCTATTGTGACATACGTATTTTTGTGGTGCGACATAGTGGAAACGTGTGAGCGTTGTTGAAGCATATACTCTATGTTATTTAAAAATCAGCTAGGAAACTAACTTCAAAGTGAAGCATTTTAGTCACTTGTAAGTGTCACCTGGGACGAACTAATATATATTAAATATAGGTCAAATTCAAAAACAACTTGAAACACGTTAAATTTTAGATTACATTCACAAGTGCAGGTACTTAATAAAGCATGGTAGGTAGATTAGAGATTTCAATTATTTATTAAATTAGACTAGAGATATCATAATCATCAAACGAACTTAAATAAGAAAATTTAGACAGCCTAGTAGCATTAAGTGGATTAACAGAAGAGTTAGGGTGCGGAGGGTCCGCTTAGGGAGGCAACTAGCCTTTAAAGCAACTGGCAACTAGCCTTTTCATGTATTGTCTGTTTATTTTGATTGTTGCTTTAAAATATCAATTTGGTATATATGTGAAAGGATGAATCAGTGGGAGATGGATTTTCGGTTTCTTTATAACATTATTCCTTTGAACCTCCCTGATTTGCCTTTGGATTGCCACAAATCTTTGTTCGTTGATGCCACATTTCCTCTAAAGGAAGAAGTCTTCGTGTCATTTGCAGCAGACTGCAGACAAGTTTAGATATGTTCTCTTCTTATTTACAAAAATGA